CATTCTCGGAAGCGCGTCGCATCGTGAGTTCTATATTATTGGACTGAACGGCTCCACAAGTCTCACGTGAAAAAATAATTCTCTAGATAGTTCTGCACGAGCAACCCGAACTCTTCGAGGATATCATTAACCCCGCAGTCCTCGAAGCACGGACACAGATCGCAGAAGACCTCATTGACATGCGCTCACAACTCCAAAAGCAAGTCACGCGTCTGCGCGAGCTGCGCATCAAAAAGGCCGAAGATCCAGGTATGCACGCACCACGCCATCTATTCAAGCAGAACTGAAAGTGCACCTTTCTCACCTCACACCCAAACTTTGACAGAGGAATTCTATGGCACCGAAGACTCTGCTGCGATTCACAACGTGGATGTGATGACTGACGCGTCCGCTTTCACCGCTTTTACGCGCTACACGGCAGCGCCGACCCCATCCGTCGCCGCATCGCGCACGACGAAGCGAACTCACGCTCGAAGCGCAAGATGGAGCGTAAGATCGGGTCAGGGCGCAAGGGCACAGTTGACGAAGAAGAATACTTGCTCAAGTCGCTCACCAAGCTCGTAGACAGATTGACCACTACCCAGGTACGTCTATATCAAGCGCCTTTTTCCTCAATGATTAACAAAAAATATGTTAGATGATGTCGCGGTGCTCGTGCCACATCTCCCGGTTCACCCCTGCGCACCGGATGCCGCTCACGAGGTGCAAAACGAAGTGGTTGCATTTTCGCGTGAGATGGCCGAGGCATTCGATCAAGTTTGGCCTACAGCTCCGACAAAGACGTAGAGGCGGCGCGGGGACGGCGGTAACGCAGGCCCCGCAAGAAAGCTGGGCCGCGCGGGTGGCTGAGGAACAGAAAGAACGCGAGCGCGCCGTCAAGGCGATTATCAAACCAGAGTTGCGCGTAGCCGACACGTGGCGCACACGACTAGTCGACGTCGACGCCACTGCTGCTGCGGCGGGAAAGAGGTGAAGGGCGATCAGATTACAGGGGCCGTTCGAGATCGAGATCGAGAGATTGTTCGTTATCTTGTCTGATTTACAAAGCGGGTTCTAAGTTATGAAAGCAAGTGAGGAAATAAAAAGCATATATGTATATATACAGAAGGGTATATAAACGGAAAAACAGCCCCGAGAAAATACCTTGGCCTATCTCCGTATAGGTTCAACAAAGGGCGTGGTCATAAAGTCGACATTATCATACCCCGAGTGACGGCTGTCGTACCAAAACGCGACGAGCTCGTCAGCGTCGGGTAACAAGGGCGATCTTATACCGGAAAACACCAGTCGAGCGAGTTCGTCGCCTTCAGGTCCGGGAAGGAACAGGTGGCATCCAAAGGGAATGCTTCCTTTGTAACCCATCAGCGTTCGATCAGGAGGGTATAGCGTAGACGATTTTTGAAATTTCATGTGATCGTCAAGTGCCGAAGGTCTGTTAAACGCCGAGGCGGATGCAGAACGTCTGAGATATGCGCGGAAGTAATAATAATGATGATAATACCCGTACCGCGCGATAAGGCGGAGACCTCGGGGGCATGTTGCGCATCGACAAAGAAGGTAGCCGAGATCGCAGGGCGTCGAGCCGTGCCCACCGCTCCGCGTCGTCGTGATACCGGTCCGGTGAGATGCCGTCAAGGTACATCTGCCATCGACGGGACCACAAGGCGATCCATTCCTCTGGGTCTACGTCGACAATGGTACGCAACATGTCGCCGTGGTCCTCGCGCCCCAACCACCACTCCGAGGCGTGCGATGCAAGGTGGATCTGTGTCGCCACGGCGTGCGCGGCATAGGATGGAGGTGGGGTCCACCTCTGCGTGGTGAAGGAGGAATCCCGTTGGTTTTGAAACGGTGAACGGCGCTGGAGCAGCGTTCACACGTGTAACCTGTTTGGTAAAAGTATGGAAGGATGACAGACAGCTGTCAGCATTATAGAGGGGAGGGGGGGGGGAAAGGAAATAGGGTTAGCCGTACGTGCCATATGCCAGGTCGCGCCGCTGCTCGAAAACGCCATGGCGACACGCGGGGGTTGTTCAGGTATTCAACGTCTCGTGAACTTGATTTCATTCCTGAGACGAACGCAGCCAGTTGGCCCCACACGACCTCACCTGTGTGTAGGCGAAGTAGATCAGCGACAGCGACAGTTGCCAAGGGGAGGGGGAGGACATGACGTTGTGTCCAATAAGCGAATGACGTACCGCTTGTGATTTCAAATGAACCTGCCAACTTCTTTGCTGGGCCCGTTTCGCCGTTCGCCAGCGGGGATCAAATCGTAAGCATGCTCCCTCAAGCGAATTTCTTCCATGCTAGGCTGCATCCTGAGGCCTGCCTCGAATGCTGGACGACGGAGACGACCGTCTGCGAGTGCGCGAGCGCGAATGTCGGCGACCCGGTTGTCGAGTAAATGCCACGACGGTTGTCTTGCGAGGATGCGTGCGCGTAGTCCGGCAGAGTCCATGGTGCTGAATGAGTTCCAATGGATACACCAGACGTATGCGATCGCCGAGATGACTTCCTCGTCCGTTGGGATATGAGAACGAGGGGAAGGCAATGCGCCTGGAGGAAGAGGACGCCAGTTGATAGGCGATCTACCAAGTGAATTGGAAGGGAGGGCAAGTCCTTTGGAAGGGCAGACATGATAGGAGGAATGAAAAGTTAAGACCAAAACATATTTTTCTTTTTATTTTATTTTCAAAAATTAAACGGAATAAAAAGTCGCGACATACAAATAACACATCACGTGTATACCCCTAATGACCACGTGAATAACTGCCGACAGTGCCGTTTTCGATAAGCAAATCGAGCTCTTCTATCGTGAGCCCGAGTCGGCCGATTAATATTTCCTCATTATCAACTCCGAGATCGGGTCCCGACCACCTCGTCCGAGCGTTGATTCCCTCCAATCTCGGCGCAACGCTTGTCATCTTCACACTCCACCCTCCTCCCCGTTCAGCAGTAGCAGGAACCCAAACCTCTTCCACAGCACCACGTTCCCGTACCTGCTCATTGCACACGATATCGCGCACGCTCGCGACCCGACCCGCCGGTACGCCGATCTGGTCTAGAGTCCGCAACACCTCGTCTCGGCTGCGCGCACTCGTCCACGCTACTATCGCACCCTCGATCTCGTCGCGCCGTTCGACTCGGCGTTGGTTGTTCGCATATCCCGTACCCGTCAGGTCGGTCCGGTTCATCGCCAGCATCAGTCGCTCGTACATCGAATCGGCATTCGCGCCTATGATCACGTAATCGGGTGGTGCATCCGATGGGGTGTCCGGAGCGGGTGCACAGGGATATGCGCCAGTGGGCACGATCCCCGTGACGGACGACCCGGAGGGGCATCGCACGACACCCTTTCGATCGAATCTGGTATGATGCCCTCCATCAGGTTGAGCATGCTATTTTTTTTTCCGTCATCAGGCAGAAATTTGAAAAACTTTGCGTTCACCTCTCCATGATGCTCACGTCCACAGTCAGCCCTCGAGGAACACCGTCATCGCCTTTTTATTTTACGCCGTGCGAGTAGAGCCAGAACCGTTCCGAACGCCGCCGTTAATCCGGCGACAGAATCACCGAGACTGATGTTTGGTCGGACTGGCGGTCCACTGAGCTCGCCTGTCTTCTCGTCCGGAAAACCGTTGATAAATCGAAAGCCCGATTCGCCTTCACATACACTTGCGTATCCAGGGCGTAAGCACCAAGGACCTGTCTGACCATATCCGGATACACGTGTGACGATGAGGCCGGGATTGGTCTCCCGTAGTACATTGGGGCCTAGGCCCCATTTTTCCAGTGCTACGTAGATAAATGATTGATTAGCGGGGATTGATTGATAATTGGAGGACTGGGAAGATGCACATACTGCCCGGTTTGAAGTTTTCAATCACAACGTCCGAACGGTCTGCCAGTCGCCGGACGAGGCTAGACAATAAGAATTTGATTTGATTTGATTTTTTTGGAGGGGTGTCGGAAAGGGAAAAGAAAAAAAAAAAACAACGTACGCACGGCCTTTTTCCTTACGCAATCAATCGACACGCTCTTCTTGTTGCGTGCCAGACTACGAAACCAAGGGCTCGTCCCGTCTACATCGAGTTCACGCCAGACGCGTAATGGATCGCCAGTATTGGGAGGTTCGACTTTGATGATTTCTGCACCGAAATGTCTATTATTTACATAGTATTTTGAGTGCAACGCGAAGCATTCCATGTATCGCGCTATACACACACCCGAGTAACTGGCCCGCAAATGGTCCAGCTATGAGTTGTCCTAGCTCAAGGACGCGGACTCCGGACAAAGGTAGGTCTGGATCCTCAGGCTTCTTCTTCTGGTGCGCATCGATAGCCCTACCACAGTCAACAATCGAAACACGGCAGGCTTTACATACTTGGAGTGAAAGAGCTCACAGCCACCGGCCCACCATGACACGCCCGTCCTGTTCGTATATCCCACTCGACCGAGTCCTCTGAGCATCATCAGAAACTTCTCTTTTGGAACTGCGTAGTGAATGAATGTTTCAAAAAGGCGCCATGGGCGCTTAATCGGGGAACCAAAGCGGCAACATAATTGAAATCACTTTCTACCCGAGCATGACTTTGCCCATGGGTGAGATTCTCGTTGCCTCGACAAACTCAGTTACCTTCGTCACGGCTATGGCAGGACAATTTTTTGTCATCTCAATATCAGAATTGAGGCTGATGTCAAGTATGCACGCTTAGGTGACCATGGTGTCGGGGCTCTAGCGTAGCGGTCTTCCGTAGACTGCGAGAGAAGCGATCATCTTCTCCCCGTGGCACTCGTCCACAAGTGCATTCGAGCCCCTGCCAAGTCACGCACAAACACACCTCACCACCTAGTAAGATGGTGAAATACCTCAGGGGTGTCCTTTTCCGAGCGCGAGCACTCGCCTATCGCTTGGCAGCGCAATACCCACTTCATTTAGAACGTGTAAAGAAACATCGTGACGTCGCTTTGATAATTCTCTAAGCAACAAAAAAGAGATGTCCTCCGAACTGGGGTCGAACCAGCAACCTTGGGATGGCCAGTTGAACCGTTTATAGTCCCATGCTCTTCCAATTGAGCTACCGGAGGCTTAGCAACTGAATGGCGAGCTTGATGAAGGACGTGAGTAAAATGAAAATTTGTACATTGGCACCACATCCACGTCATCTGATTAGCAGCAAAAATTCGGTGAGATAGAGCACACTGCGATACATACATTGAGTTTGATTGCAGCCAGCTTGGATGGTACAGTATATGGATTGCAAACCTGAAGAACTCTGCCTCTGTCGTGCTTCGATGGCCCGATTATTTGAATTTACGTGGCTTGAATTCGATGCGTCGCAAAAAATGCTCATTTGTAGCCATCTATAGCGTTACCTTTCTCAGGCGGTGTAATCGCCGCGCCACGCTCATGATTCTTTCTATGTTGGTAGAGCGAAAAAAAGAGTCCTTCAGGCTGGAATCGAACCAGCGGCCTTGGGATATCACAGATATTCTGTTATAGTCCCATGCTCTTCCGGCTGAGCTACTAAAGGTTAACTGCCAAAACAACGACGAAGCTAATGATCCGTCTAAAAAAAGACATACATTACACGAGAGAATTTGTGTGCACCACTTCACACAGAACTTTCAGTCCGTAGAAAAACAAGAACACACCGTGAAAGTAGTAGGAAGAAGTAGGCCAATGCGCATCGAGCACAGAGTAGCAGTTGCCCTCGTTGGAATACTAATTCACGCCCCGCCAATCAGTCAATTACAGCGCAGACTGAAGCACACCCCGTTACTAGTATAGAAGAATGCTGGCTTAATTCACATGTCAGAATTGTTCGAATACAAAGACTCGGAAAAGACAAGAATATATAGGTTGTAGATATGGTGTCCTTCAAGTTCCAAAAGTTCTCTTGTCCACTGGCCAACCCGCGTACAATACAGTTAGCGATGAGAGATAGTTTACAAAAGTGATAAAGGTATAATTACGGCGTACATGAAAAAAAGGAATACAAAATCATCATGGGCGATAGTAGTAGATCTTGGGAACGATACCCGTCATTGTCCACTCTTCTCATGGGTTATCGTCAGACAGCATGTCAATCAAATCTATGCATTTGATCAAAATTTGCACACGTATTACAATTGGACCATTGCTCACCGATTGGCGACATATACATCCTAACCTGAACCGCAGTTGAGTCACAACTAGGTCAGATTCGGGGGGTAAGGATCCAAGAAAAGCAAACTACGCACAAACGGGTGCAGAGTCGAATCTGGGAAAGTTCTCCTTCGCGCACCCACAGGAGACTGCGCCAACTCGATTGGGATATCTGGGCTAGATTGGGTGTATGCGGGCCCTAAGAATGGTGGAGGGGAGGGGGTGCGTCCACGTGACGTTGACTTTGATCGCATGAACGTTGACGACCCCGAAAGGTCAGGAGGCACGAATTCGTGTGGTTGCGTTTGCATTTCAGTTATGGGAGAGGCGATGCGGTTCCGGTATCCGTTTTCATTTGTCAGAGAGCGCGGGAAGAATATCTATTGAAAGATGTTGGTGCCGAGGTAAAGTGAGAGCCATAGAAAGCGTACCACGATAGTAATGAGGCCGGAAACGAACTGACCAATGGCAGAGATAATCAATAAGATGTCTGTCCAAAACCTGAACAATGTTATATGCGTCAGCAAGGTGTCTATGCAATTTGCAAAGCTGACGGCTGCAGAACTCACAGGCTACGATTGATTATGTGTGACCCGCGAATACCATCCACTGCAAGGATAAGTAGCGGACCTACTGTAGCGAATCGAAACACAATCCGGACGAGCTGTTAGTCGGCGTCAGTCGACAGTTACACGATTGACAGCACATTAGTTGGGTGGAAACGAACGTTAAGCTCATTAAAGGTAGCTAGGCGAACGACGACGTCAGGGTCTGCACCCTCTGCCTTTACGTGGCGAAAGAATGAAGGGAAACGGATGAGAATGAAGATGAAGAGGACGTTGGTGGTCGTAGAGCCAAGGCTGCCGACAAGAAATATCCACGCGTCGGTCTGGAGGAGGTTGTCAGCCCTGGGAGAGTGTGTGAGTGAAGGAAGAAGGGCGCACGGTGAGAATGTCATGACGGGAAAGTAGAGCTGTGAGCGGCATGCCTAAGATAGAAACGAAGCAGGCTGGGGATGTGCTGAGATGAGAACGTGATTGAGAGAGCCACTCGGAGGACGGACCGATGGACCAGAGTCTATATTCAAGGCTTCTGAACCAGTCCCGTTTCTTTGGGCCTTGATCGAGAAGAAAGAACCAAAAGGCGAGTTCTGCTTTCGAACCGCGTTTAGAAACGAAACGAACAACCAACACACCCACACCCACGCACCTTCAAAGTGGGTTATCCTACACGGCATGAACAACAGCAGAAAAAAAAACAAAACAAGATGACGCACTGCTCCAAGGCCCATGCAACGCTAAAGACGAAAAGGAGGCCGAGAAGCATGTTTCGATGGCCTTTGGTCCAGAGATCTGTTGGTTTCGGATATACTGTGTGCGGTGTTTTCCTAATCATCGCAAAAAAGTGAGATCGTCATCCACGCACCTTCATTCTGGGAGAGCGTCACGAAGCCTGCTCGGAAACGAAGCACCTGAAACATTAAAGGATGAAACCACTGATCGGGCCACGATGCACGGACCCTCTTTGAACTTTAACGTGGTGATACCGACGCCAAAGATGATGAACAATGGTGTTGATCCTAGATAAGAGTACTGCGGGCACGGATCAGTGAAACAGTATGACCGGGGCTAATGTAAACGACGCACGGTCATAAGACGCCTAAATGCGCCAGGTTGCCGTCCCGCGTTCCACTTGAGACACTGCAGGCGGTCATAGCTCCAAAGGTGGTATAAAAGAAATGCAAAAAACTAAAATCGTCAACATGAATCTTGCAAGCGTGTTCGGAAAAGAAAGTGTGCCGCTCACAAGCGAAGCAAGAATCGCCCAAGTAAGAAACGCAGTCGGAGAACCGTTACTCATGGAGTAATCGGGTATCTATCCAAGTTTGAAAGAGTTGATACTACAGTAGAAGCGTGGGCGTTTTACAGACAAGACTCGGAGAGAAGCAAGGAGACAGGAATGTAGACGAACGAGGGAAAGACAGTGACGTGGTGTGAATCGAAGGCATTTTCATAAACGTTCAATCCATTCCCGTATTGAGTAAATGGCCTTCTTTCATTTCATTGTCTTGGCGCTCTAATCCCGAGGCTACAGTATGATTACTAATCCTCAATTACCCTTCACTCGAGCTTGACCGTGTAATCAGTCTGCGCGTCCTTCTCGATCTCCTCGTTAAACACGTTGATCGACCACTTGGGCGAGTAGGTGATCGGAATGTTGAACCGAATGTGATTGTTCTTCCCAATCTCGCAGATCTTTTCATAGTCTTCCTTGCTCAGCGTGATTTGCTCAAAGTTCTTGATGATGCGATCTGTCGCCGGTCAATAGGTCAATTCAATTCTTCCAAATTGGTTCACTTACCCTGTTGCACCGACTTGGGAATCACAGAGTAACCTCGATACACTCCCCACGCAATCAAAACCTGCGCTGTAGTCGCGCCAAGCCGCTCAGCCACCTGCTGCACTTCGGGATAGTCTACCAGCTGCTTCTTGCCTTGCACTATCCTCATTTCAGTATACCATCCACCCTGCCTCTATCGCGAATCCACTCACGATTGTTCCCAAGCGGGGAGTACGCAGTAAGGTGAATACCTTCCTTCTTGCAATACTCCACTAGATCGTCCTGTGGCAGCAGAGGATGGGCCTCGATCTGGTTCACCGCTGGATTTTCTCCGGTCGCCTTGGAGATCGCCTCGAGCTGTTGGATCGTAAAGTTGCTAACACCGACCGCCTTGACTTTGCCCGTGCTGCATAAAGCCAACATCGCTTTCCAAGTGTCCACGAGCGACGTGGTTTCATCAACTTCACAATCGTCGGGCTTGTCCGCGCGCTTCGGGAAGTTCCCGCGACCGGGGACGAACGCAACGGGCCAGTGGATGAGGTAGAGGTCGAGATAATCGGTGCAAAGTTGAGAAAGCGTTTGGTCGAGCTGCGCCTCCACTTCTGACGGACGATGCGCGTCGTTCCAGAGCTTTGAGGTGATGAAAAGTTCCTCGCGGCGTACCACAGACGGTATCACTTTCTTCAGAGCAGCGCCGATCTGTGTCACGTCTGTGGGTTAGTGACGCCGAACAGCAATCCGATGCAGGAGCACACACCTCGTGCTGGTTGCCGTACACATACGCGCAATCAAGGTGACGGTACCCGTTCTCCACGGCCCATACCACCTGTCCCACATTATGTCATCGAATACAAACTGATGTAGGCATAGCAACACACCGCATTTTCAACTTCAAGGGGTTTCGAGAGCCAGGTACCGAGGCCGATTTGCGGGATGGTTGTCCCATTACTTAACGGAAGTGCCTTGCGAAGTGACATGTCAAACTACTGAGGATGATACGGGTCCAGAGGCGACGTTCTGGAGAGGTTTTATATCCGTAACGGTCCGTCGATCCGAGGGGGAAAGGGGTAAAAAATTAGATCTGTATATCAAAGCTTTACTCTAATCTGAGACTTGGAGCTAAAAAGGAAAAGGGAACGCTCAAGGAGGGGGAAGGAATGCAAGTAGACCATTGACGACAGTCCAACAAATAAGGTTGGGATACTAGAAAGCGCTCTGAGCGTTGCTTCCATTCAACCTCTCTTTCTGGTAATCTGTCGAGAAGCTTGGTGGAATGCAAAAGCAAAGCAAAAACCTAGTTGTGGTGGGAAATTGGGTGAAGGTGGCGGGGGGAAAGGAGGCGGCCCAACAGTTCACCCAGGTATGGCAGTGCAGATGGCGTCAAGGCGGATCTATGCTGAGATGGACGATGTGATTTGTGAAGAGACCATATGGATTCGTAGTAACTGCCGAATGTTACGTGATCTCGTTTTTACATGGCCCGCGCAACGTTGCAATCGAGGCAGGGAGAGTCGGACGTGAAGTTGATCACGCGCCTTTGACTCGGAGCATAGCACTGAAAGTTTTACGGACCGAGGGGATGGACGGGCGCTTTTCAGCCCCGCGCCTCATTCGCACCGTTCTGGTGCGTTAAGTCAACGGATCAGTCAAACTGAGCTCAGGCACATGTGTGCTTTACTAGTGGGTGATAGTAAGGAAGTTGTGAAAAGGGCCCTTAGCAGGCCAATGCACTTCCATTCGGTTGCAAAAAAGAACAGTTACACTGACGCCCGGGGGATGGAGGGACAAGCAAGCACAGACACGTTGGGCAACGGAAATTATGAAAGGGGGAAAGAGTAGTAGATAAGACGCAGAGAGAGCGGTCAGATGAATAGGATGAATGTGGGAATGAGCACGTGCGAGTCATGGCCCATCTGATAAAGGACCTAGCCACAATTTCACGATCGACGGTTGTCCTCGGCTGTATGATACGGCGTCTGTGACGGTAGGCATAGGGGTCAAGGTCGAGAATAGGACAGAGCCTTTCGGGTATGTGGCGCACAAAAT